CTTAATTCCAATTTACAATTTATTAGCATTTGTATGCCGCCCACTCCCATTGGGACTCTGGGCGGCTTACAGACAAAAACAAACATATATTTAAAAAAAAATTGAGATAAAAATACAAGTGTTAAAAATATCAACAACATGCATACAGTTGGAGTGGGGCTGGATACTAATCAACAGCCCCAGGCCTGCCGGAACAGCCAGGTCTTCGTGGCTTTATGGAAGGCCGGAAGAGTGGTAAGGGTCGGGATCTCTACGGGGAGATCGTTCCATAGGGCCGGAGCAGCAACAGAGAAGGCCCTTCCCCGGGGACCCGCCAACCGACATTGACTGGCCGACGGCACCCGGAGGAGGCCCAATCTGTGCGATCTTATTGGTCGTTGGGAGGTAAATGGCAGGAGGCGGTCTCTCAGGTAGACCTTATCCCTTATGGTGGGTCCTTCCTAAATATCATTCTCTGACCATGGCAAGACAAGAGCCCTGTCTGATTGTTTCCTAATAGTAATTCTTTCCCCAAGGTCGTTCACACATTCCGTTACAGCTAATCTTCTGTCTATCTTATCTAGCGGTGGTTACAGTTCTTATACTATACGTTGTAGATGACTCCTGTTTTTCCCCTAATTGGGCGACTACGTCTTTCGGTTTATTAAAATGTTTTGAGGGCTTTAGTTGGTTTGTGCACTACGGTGATACTATGTGATTGTAATAGTCTATTGGTGTATTCTAAAATATTTTTGATATATGGTACCTTTCCATAACTAGTGTTGTGCGGTGATGAGTTGAGTGGTCAATAATGTTTTGATAAAATTGCGTGGATATCCACTTTTTTGGGGAGGGTGGGGAGATGTTGTATAGGCTACCCTATGTTGTATAGGCTACCCTTTTTTGGGAGGGTGGGGAGATGTTGTATAGGCTACCCATTTCATTTTTCTGATGTTGCGGGCTGTTGCAGTGTGTTTATACTTCTTGCAATAATGTTCTGACTCAGCTCTTCTTGTGGAACATTGATTAGTGTGGCTAGTTATTTTTCAATAGAAGAACATATTAGTAGAAGATCAGGCTAGATTTAGATCTGGCTTCCATAAAAGGGAACTGCTTCGTTCTACACCACTTATTACTAAATATACAACAGATGGTAAAAACCTGTTCACATCTTTCATAGATCTTAGTGGGGTACGTGATTCTATAAACAGAGAGGTTTTTATTGAAGACGCTGGCCAAGCTAATATGGAACCCAGACTTCATTAGCAGAAGAAGCTGTGTTTAGAACATCAATGCAGGAGATGGACAACCATCTCTGGACTTGGGGGGAAATTAGATGTTGTAAGCTCACATGGGGGATCTTCAAGGAAAATCACTATCATATGCTAAATGGTGAGATCTTGACGTGGCTCCATTATTGCTGTTAACATCTATTCTCTCTTATACTTGTGATTTTTTTTATAATGAGGTTTTTTTTATACGTTTACTGTTTTATAATTTTGTACATTGCCCAGAGTAATTTTTCATAAAATGGGCAGCCTAATAAATTTGATCAATCAATCAATCAATCAATCAATCAAAAATAGCAATAGCAATAGCAGTTAGACTTATATACCGCTTCATAGGGCTTTCAGCCCTCTCTAAGCGGTTTACAGAGTCAGCACATCGCCTCCACAGTCTGGGTCCTCATTTCACCCACCTCGGAAGGATGGAAGGCTGAGTCAACCTTGAGCCAGTGAGATTAGCAATAGCAATAGCAATAGCAGTTAGACTTATATACCGCTTCATAGGGCTTTCAGCCCTCTCTAAGCGGTTTACAGAGTCAGCACATCGCCTCCACAGTCTGGGTCCTCATTTCACCCACCTCGGAAGGATGGAAGGCTGAGTCAACCTTGAGCCAGTGAGATTAGCAATAGCAATAGCAATAGCAA